CATATATGAATTATAGACCATAAGAAATTCACGTTTACATATTTATCACCCAATTCACATATTAGGGAGTATACTTTACAGTTAACTCTAGATGTTCCTGCCCACTTTTAAACCTCGTTATAAACCAGTAGCACCTCCACCAAGCCAATCTAGTTCCAGACAAGTCTTCTAACCTCTCCACTCTGGTCAGGCGCATTTAACAAAAGCTTCCCACAAATATCTAAGAAAACAACCCCTGTTTCTTGTCTAAAAGAACCAAAGATTTGAGAGAACACTGTATTCCCCTAATAAATGTGTTTCTTATAAGCACTGCTACAGGATCAAAGAGCTTCCTCTTGAAAACCTCTTAAGTAATTTCTAAAGAAAATAAAAGTTCACGTGAGTAAGTGATTTTTAGTTCTAGGAAGTAATTTCAAATGTTGTCACGAAAACTTAAGTCATTGTACAGGAATTTATGCTACACTTTCATTCAGGGAAGAAACATCATCTTACCTTGCATTATAAAATAAGGTTTAGAATTAGCATCCGAAAAACACCTCACATACGATCCTTTTCTTTCATTTTTTAAAATTATGATAAAACACACATAGCAAGGAAGTCAGTGTTGACCCTATGGGTACACAGTCCGTGACAGCAAACACAGTCACAGGGCTTATAGCCAGCACCTCGATCCACTCTTCTTGAAAAACTGTACCTCCTTAGGTGTTAAATAATCACCGCCTATTCTACCCCTATTATAGTCCTGCCATCGACCACTGTACTCCCTGTCCCGACCTTGACCCCTAGGAACTTCGACTACGTGGATTTCCGATTTCCAACAGTATTTGTCATTCTGTGAAGGGTTTATTTTTCTTAGCATGACATCCTCACTCCAACCATGGGCAACTGTGGTCTGGGACAGGATTTACTTCTTTCTTCAAGTCAAATAATTTCATCGCATGTGTATCAACACATTTTCTTTCTCCATTTGTTTTTTTTTTTTTTTTTGAGACATGAGCCACCATGTTCAGATTGCAAATTTTCTTAATCTATTAACCTGTCTATGGACATGCCGGCTGCGTCTGCCTCTCGACTAGTGAATGATGCTGCAGTTAGCATGGCTGTGTGGCTGTTTCTCAGATCCTGTTTTCAGTTCTTTCAAATAAATACCCAGGAGTGACACAGTTGATTTGGGGACTCACCTATTTCCATAACAGTCAAACTATTTTGTATTCCCATCAGCTGTGACAAGAGTTCTGATTTTTCTAAAACTCCATCGCATGGTGATTTTCTTTTTAATGGTTATCTCATGGGCATGAACACTCACATCCCGTGTGTTTAAAGGGAGTCCAACACCAGACTCTAACTCCGAGTGCCAGATAAGACACAGGGTTTCAGCACTCTATAGTAGGGCTGACTGAGGCCTATGGGAACCAAAATGGCTATGATATGGTCTGGATATTACTCACTGCCCAGATAGAAGACTTGCAGATACTTTCTCCTGCTTCATGAGTCGATTCAACTCTGCTGATTTTCTTCTTTCTTGCATAAAAGTTTGTAATTTGTTTATTATTTTTATTTTCTGTGATACAAGGCTTTGCCATGTACCTAGTACTAGACTTGAAATGTGACCATCCTCCTACCTCAGCATCCTAAGTGCTGAGATTACAGGCACATGTCAGCAGGCCTGTCTGTATGACTCTCTCAGTGATGACATAATCCAATTCTACTTCCTTCTTGTTTCTGACGTTTCTGGGGTTATTCAGTGCCATTCAAGAAAGTATTGTGAACTTCAGTTCCCTGAGGCCTTCACCTATGCTTTGATCTAAAAGTTTTGTTAACTAAGCTTTCCCTCTGCTGGAGATCTGGAGACTTTTCACTCACACCTGCCTCGTCTCTCAGGGAAAGCTCCTGGAGGAAAGCAGGAACTGAGGTCTATAAATGTGAGCACAAGGGGCCTTTACTTCCTAACAGACACAACTCTGTATACAGGCACAGATACCAACACAAACAGATGTCACAAAGGCCCAAGAGAAAGGCAACAACCTCGCTTGGTGACAGCGGTGATACTGGGATAGGGTCATTTCGTGCCACCAATCTGAAGAACAGTCTTTTTGAGACATTCAAGAATTCTAATTCAGGGGTTGTTATTAAAGCAAGTATTTGGGTATCTACACCCAAAGTTTCCTCTCTTTGGGAATTTTAATGAAGTTTTTGCACTTGCCAGTTAAAGTTACTGTTGGCCCCATCCTGTTACTGCTATTGTGCTTTAGGATGCGGTTATTATTACCATCGTTATGTGTTGTGAAACAGGATCCCACTATTTAGCTCATCCTGACCTGGAACACGCCATCCTCCTGCCTCTTCCTCTCAAGGCCTGGGATTATAGGCATACATCAACATGCCCAGATTCTATATTATTGTTTATACAAACTGACCCCGAAGCCTAAGGGTACTCATTAAAATATTTATTAATTAATACTCTTGAAATACAAAGCTACAAACTCCACTGGAAGTGTCTCAAGTCAGATAAGAACAGACTATACTCAGCATCACATTTACTCATAAGGATACTGCCTAGAAACAAGGCACGCCAGGGCAAGGCATGGGCATTTCTCAAGAGCAGGCCACACAGACGACAAGGAATTAGCCTTGACTCGGCACTACCGGAGACAGCTCAGGTTCGAGGCACCGGCACTCATATCCAGTTTGTATGAGAGAACACACTGGAAGATGAAGATTGGACCATGGCTCTGAGTGTCATGTAAGACATACAGAGTTCTTAATCCTGGACCATTGATGAGTTCAGAGCCATGGATGAGTGCTAACTGAAAACTCTGAGAACAGATATGGTTGCTATACAGTAGTTGTATCTAAAGCAGTGGTTCTCAACCTGTGGGTTGAGACCCCTGTCGGGGGGGGGGGGTCAAAGACCCTTTCACAGGGGTCACCCAAGACCATCAGAAAAGAAAGACAATTAATTACATTACTATTTATAACAGTAGCAAAATTACAGCTCTGAAGTAGCAGTAAAATTAATTTTATGGTTGGAGGTCACCACAACATGAGGAACTATATCCAAGGGTCACAGCACTAGGAAGGCTGAGAAGACTGGCTGAGGGAAGAGTGTCACATTCCCCTAGTAGAACAATGGGAATGGGGGTAGCTAATTCCAACTTTCAGCAACTTTCTTTACCAGCTACACTTCTAAATATTTTTTATGTGCTGATTTATCATAAAAATTCTAATGAGGCTAGGCCCAGACACTGTCCTATATGACAGACGAGGGGCTGAGAGCTCAAACAGTTTGTTCAGAATCTCAAAACCACTAAATTGGAATAAGCACCAGCTGAATACAAACAATTTACCTCAGAGCCTGCACTGCTGTTAACCAGTGAGCTACCCAGCAATTGGGTAAGAAACCACACCTACCTAAGATGGGGTGTGCTAAGTTACAAGGCTGATGATTATAGCATAGGGCTTAGCCAGGCAAACGCGGGGTACTACATGGGCAGAGAAAATGAGCTCTTGAGAAGTACCTGGGTCCTTTCATTCAGTGTCCATGATACTTGGTATTCTTCACATATCCTCATGTTTATTTGTATGAGGATACCTGGGCTCAGAAAGCTCCTCTATCTCTATTATCAAGCCAGTGACCAATTCTGAATGAGAATCCAGATCCTCACCAGCCCATGCCTTTTCTACTATCTATAGTAAGGGCACGAAGTGGTAGGTCAGGGACGTCCCCTGTGTTCTTCGCCTTGGAGGCCCAGCATTTTATCAGGAAGAACCTGAAGCCCAGGAATAGGCATGGTTACGACTCCAGCATTCCTTCTGGTCAGCTACACGTGATGCAGAGTGAATACTTGAGTCAATAGTTGTTTCAAGGACCTAGCACTAGCCTTGGATTTAGGCAGGCAGGAAGGCCTGAGAAGCCCACATACAAAATACAAACATGGAACCTCGGGGAGGTTCAGAAACACAAACCAGAGGGGCCATGACTATGCGGTTCTCCATAGCGTATTTAAAAATCCTCTAAGGAGAACCGCGGGGCCTGGACATGAGGGTCTCCAAAGAGCAGAGCTGACTGCAGCCAACTGGGTCTGCTGCCTTCTCTGCTAATCCCCAACTTTTAACCCCGAATTCCTCAAAACTATTCTTAGAAAAGGTCATGATGTAACATTAAATTTAAGAGCAGAACATAAAATTATATGTACACCAGAAAAGGAACTGACGGCAGAAATTTGATTATAGTTCTTTCTGTATCTTTCACTATTTGCTTCTACATATGCATATATTCTACTGTTAACCACAGATTAAACTTAGACTGAGGGGGAAGGAGGGGAGGGAGGCAGACTAGAGATTTAAACAAGACTTGGAAGAGGGGAAGACCTGAACTTTACATAGAGTGTGCTAATGATTCCAAGTGACCCTCTAGAGCACAATGGCATTCACCTGTCATTCCAGCGCTCAGATCATCAGCTCACACAACCAGCTCAGGAAAGGCCCGATGTCAAAAGAGCGGAACAAAAACCATCCAATGGGTTTGGATATCCAAATACACCAATGCATTTATTTAGAAAGTACAAATTTCCACGTCACAAGGATCTACTCAGAATTTCCCCGAGAAACACCCCACCCTGAGAAAATTCTGCTTGTTTTCTTTTTCAGTAAAGGTGGGAGATGATCTACTTCTGTTCTGGTTTTGAGACAGGAGATCTTGCTATGCTGTCTAAGCTAGCCTTGCACTTAGGCCAAGCAATCTTTCTGCCTCAGCCTCCTGTGTGGCTGAGATTACAGTCACACACTAGTGCACCCAGCAAAGCTAGTTTTAACAATCTCCCCAAGTTGATTCTAGTATTTTTAACTAGGAACTCTTAAATCACTTCAGCTTTTTTCCTTCTGGAAGACTGTTTTAGGACATATTTACTATAAGGACAAATGGATACTGAAATTCAAACATAACATTTAACACTGAGACGGACGACCAGAGTGCCGGCTTGGACAGCCTAACATCTCACCGTTGATCTCTGCAAACTTCTGGACGTCACTCAAGGTTTTCAACTCTTGTCTTGGACATGCTGCTACACACAGTGCTACAGACTTGATCTTCCTGTTTATCAAGTCCAGATTGCATGGATCCAAAAAGAACACATACCTAAAGCATGGAGAAAAGAACCAAGATATTATTTTGCAAAACACATATGGTTTACTGCATACTCAGCTAAGCCCAAAAGCAAAGGCTACTCCGCTGAGCTTCACACTCAGCGCTCCCCAAACAGACCCATCAGCGAAAGCCTGAAAAACAACGACTTCTGATGCTCACAGAGAGAGTGGAGTAATTGGAGGACTTAATAGCTTTCATAAGTTCTTTTCCTAATATTTACATTTTATAATACGCAGATTTTATTGCCAGAAATCATTTTCTTGCTTGTTAAATTTATACCAAACATGATTAGAATATCCCAATGTTGTGATTTAACATATACTGCAATTGCCATGGAAACTGCAAACTGGTTAATGAATATGATTATCAAAATAAAAATGTATATATTACTAATGATAATACACCAATATGAATAGAAAGTTGAATGAAAACTGGAAAAATATACAGCAACGTAACAGCCACCTACATATATGGGGAGTTTTTAATTTCCTTTCTTTTACTTTTTAGGATTCTCACTTTCTAAAAATAATGCAGATTACATTTTAATTAGAATACCCACAATAAATACCTTTTATTTAAAAAAATCTCATAGCAGTTACATAAAAATAATACACACATCCTACATTACTGCCCTCTGTATGTGTTATAATTACAGTTTTTAAAGGGGGACGCTTAGGCGGAAATCAGAGAATTTAACAGATAGTATCACCTATCCCAGGAAAGGGGATGCGCAAACATCCTCCAACAAGAACAAGAGAGTGTGTTGCTGCAGACCAGGGATGGCGCCTAACAAGGAGGGTCTTATTGAGCATGAAGTTAAAGAACACCAGCCCTGGCATGGTTTTGTCTTGTCATCCTGTCTGTCCGTGCCCCCCATCCCAACCCACACCCCCCCATCCCAGTCCAGAGCAAACTTTTACAAAAATCAACAGCCTTTCCCGCAAACCAGTCAAATGTACATTACGAATACAACTAAATCTAAGAATTAGGTAATTACTTTTCTCAGCCTTTGGCTGTAATCAGGTGAAGAAACAGGATTAAGCACAAAATTAAAAAGCAAAAAGAACAAAGCCAATGCACACATGAAATGGGTACTAGAAAAGAATACCATAAAAAAGGTGCAGAAGGCTCTAGAGGAGCCTTCACAGATGGAGCAATAACTGTGCGCAGCACAGGGCAGCCAGGAGACCATCCAGGAACCCAGCAGGAAGGGGAAGGATAAGCTACGGTACAAATCAACACACTCTTAGAGACTCTAAAGTGGTTAATGTTCCCAAAAGACAAAAGGAATGCAAAGAAGCCAGATGTGATTTGGAAGTAGGGTTTATGGACTGCTTCCATGGCCGAAAACAAGGAGGTAGTTAGTACAGGCAGGCACGGAAAAAGCAGTTTCTGGGAACCCTTGGCAGAAACAAGCAACCTCTCACTGTTTCCCCCTCCATCTGGCCCATGCATCTGACTCAGGGTGTCTGCTCGTAGGATCCCAGACAAAGAACTGCATGAAGCCAGATTCTGGGCAGGGGACCCTCGGGTCCTGGAAGAGGGGTGGATCAACTAGCATCGCCATTACCACCAATAACAAGAAGTGTCTATGACAGCAACCAGGAATGGAGCCCATGAATGCCCATGTGCCAGGCACTCTAGAAAGCGCTGTGTGGACACATGCGGTCCACACAATAGCGTGTTGTGTTCCTGAGAAGGCGGTGGAATGCGGGTGGGGGACAGTAACCGAACACATAGTTCTTAATGATAAACGATGCCTTGAGAAGCATCCAGAGAAATCACATGACAGCAGAAAACAGGTTTGCAGACTGGGAAAGAAAGCCAGAGGCTACTGGGCTAGATCAAGGACAACCTCCTGGGAACAGAAATTTGGTCTGGTTGGCCTGCTTCCTAGGACAACGCTAAATGCTAAGACGGTACTGGCTGTACTTAGTTTAGACACTGAGACATCGCAGTCGTCTGTCCTTGTGAGTGGTAACCATCTCGTAATGTGCCTTGCTTGCACCAACCTGAGCTTGTGCTCTGGTTCTTTTTCTCTGAGAAGGCATTGCATCCTAAACCCACGCACGATCTCCTGCTCTGGCCTCTCAAGCAGCTGAGACCCTAGGTCCTTCCCATCCTCTACTTCCAGGCCTCCCTTTAATAGCTCTCTGGTTTAACGTAAGGGAAACATTTTTCCTTCTTACCCTCAGTTTCCTTATTTTTTACAACTGCACACCATTTACTCCACAGTCTACTTTGCGGCCATCGATGGCACACACCACACAGACAGTTGTTAGCAGTGTTGCCGAGAAAGCAACCTGACTTTTACAAAGGCTGTATGTGAGGGTAAGCCATCTAACTCAACTCATTCTGGGAGGGGTGCAGAACAAGACAACATCATTAATACTTAGTTTCCAGGAGAGAAAAGCCTGCATAGATACCATTGGGTCAAAAGCCTTGGTAAGAACTAAGCAGCCCCCTGGAACAGGTCAAGTAAAACAAAATGGGTTAAGAAGGAGAGTGGAATCCTATGACCAACCAAAGTGAGGAAATAGGAAAAGGGAATTTTCAGAAATAAACAATATATTAAGTTTTGAATAATTTTGATTATAGTTATTGGTATAATTGCTCTATTTCATGGTTATTATCAACTTCTTACTGTGTCTGATTTATTAATTAAACTTTACTATATGTATGTACTCATAGGAGGAAGAAAAGAGGTACCCATAAAATTTAGTACAATCCAGAGTTCCAAAGATCTGCATTGCACACTGGAATGCTTTCCATGATAAGGGGGACTCATTTGCAGTTAACTGACAACTACGGAGTGTCTTTCAATCAAGAGACACAGGACAGGATAAAAGGCTACAAAACACTGCCTGTCTCAAAGCCTATCCTAATTCCATTCTCCCCAGCCTATGACACAGGAATGCTGTAGAAGCTCAAATCTATGAATAACCCAGAAACAGCTTTGTTGAAGTTTCACCTCCTTTAGAGGACCTAGATGGATTAAATACCCGAATTGGGAATGGAGGAAGGATGAGAAACAATGAGAATACTCCAGAAACTGAACAGCCTGGACACTTGCAGGTAGGCACACAGCATGCTCAGGCAGTCCGGAAAGGACATCTGCAAAGGGAATTGCAAACCACCTAGGTAAGCTTTGAACTTCAGAGCGTGATGGGGGCTGGAGAGATGGCTCAGAGCCGTTAAAGGCTAGGCTCAAAACAAAAAAGGGTAAGGGAGACGGGAAACAAACCGTGTCCTGGCTGTACTGCAAAGGAAGTGCCATAGTGGCTGGTAAAGGAGGGGTATAAATACTGCTCCAGTCCAGCTAGCTTCTGGGGTTATTTGAGGAAGATACTAAATAAATCCACTTTAACTTGGAAGTCTGGAAATGCAGCACCAAACTATGTCCAAAAGGAGAGAAAGGGAAGAATATAAAAATACAGTGGTCTCTCTGCACAGTACACAGGAGGACCTATGCATCCAATGTGAGAACGAGGCAAAGGTCAAAGACGGAGCACTACTAGTCACTGAGTAGAGCCACAGGAAGGAGGTGACTAACAGCTCTGCTCAGAGCAAAAGGATGAATTATAAGATGCCACAGAAGGTTTAAAGGTAGCTTAAACCTCTATCTTGCTTTTACTATCTTTACCAAAGACAGGAGAAGGTAAAGAAAATGCGATTTACCAAGAAGTTACTGCATGCCAAAAAGCATCTGAGGATGAGCCCTCACTACCCATAATTCAACAGCTAAGGGAGGGATCTAGAAGGCGGGTGACAACTAGAGGTCACATGAACTAAAAGTCTGCCCCAATCCCAACTGGAGAGGGAGGGCAGGGACAGTCAGGGGCAAACCAATGACTGGATGCTTAGAGGAGGTCTGTAGCAGAAGGAGCCCCGTCTGCTCAAGATGCAGCGGTTTATTTTGTGGGGGAACAGCACTCAAAGGATAAGCATTCAGCAGGACTTAATTCACAGAGGAGCATCCCATTATCCCACAAACACTGCTAAGTATTTACTCCCAGGAAAGGCCTTCTCAATACAAAACCCACAAAGCACAAATTTTGAATGCAAATAACTTACAGGCTACAGAAAAAGAGACAGAAATACAACTAGTCATTTCAAAACCGCATGATGCGTGTGAGGTGGAAATGGCAGTGGGAACTGTATAGTTCTGCGTGGAGGGAAGGGGGTGAGGGAAAGCGTTAGGGTGGGGGAGAGGGAGCCTAAGCCGCATTTTGAAACCGAGTAGGAATTTTCCAGACAGATGGGGAAAGGAACACTCCAGGCAGAGGAAACCGCATGCCGAAAAGCACAGAAGCATGAAAGAGCATATTTAAGGAACTGCAAATAATCGGATAGGGCTGACTACAGGGTGGAACATCAAAGAGCTATGTGGCAAGGAGAAGTGGGGGCAGAGGTGGCTGTCCTTAGAATCCAGGAGATCTGACACTCTGTTCCATAAGGCAGTGTGTAGTCACATGGCCACCTCACAGTAAGGCCTTGGTGTAACCAGCGATCAAGTTGAAGAAGGAGAGGCTGGGGCACAGCAGTGTGGCTCCAGAGATGAGCCCTTGCCATTAAATTGCCTCCTGCTGCCATGGCAACTCTGCGGCAAGGCTTTTTGGAGCAAGAGGTGGCAAGCAGATACCAGGTCTGCTGGCCGCCTCCTGCCGAATTTGGCTTCTCTCCTCTCTAATCAAGCATTGCAGCGCTTAAAGCTGGGAAACTGGCAGAGAAGCCCCTCGGATGCCGTCTGCTTTAGTGATTCCTGACACATGTCTTCCCCAGAGGGGAATAAAAATGGAGTCTGATCATTTGCCCAATTATTACCTGGAATCAATTTATAATTTATAGCCCCTTTCTACAGACTGTTGCCCTTACCGAATCGCCAAAAGGAAAAACACAACAGCAATGCAGGCCTCCAGCGAATGCTAAACACAGGCTGCAGAGAGCTCGAGGGTCTAGAGCTCTGCCCAGAGAGACCTCTTGTTTCCTAT